TGTAGAATTCAAATTAGAAATACTTCCCTGGCATTAGAGGAGCAGTATTTGGTCTCCATTTACTTTAAAAACTTAATTTTTCCCAAGGCACAATGGCCTTTAGTGAATTCAGACTTTTTCCCCCATGAATGCAGAAAGAAAAAGGTAGAATACATTTTTAAATGAGAAAAGATATGTACATTTTTTCTCATGGTAAATTATAAATACAGAGTATATGCACACAAAAAAGGAAGCATTGCATATATGACTACATAAGTATGTTTTACTACATACACGTGTAAATAAAATATGTGTTTAAGGTAACAACATAGGCTCATTTAAAACTTCCTATTTCTGGTTTTAATCAGAGAAATCAAAAGATATTTTATACTAGGCCACTAACTATAGCAGTGTAAAGCATTGGGATGTGTTCGCAGAAGTGGTTTTTAAGACAAACTGAATTATTTCTTCTATTTGCAGCTCTAAGGAAATTATATAATGATAATTTCTTAGAAATTGTCTCTGAGGCTAACACTGCCAAGTAAAATCAAATAAAGCTGAACTAAAAATTGTCTACTTAAAAACCCTTGGTAAGAAAAAAGTCACAGATGAATTCTAGAGCTTATTTGTATAGCTCTGACCTGAAAGAAGTGCGTAATTATTGGACTGAACATTTACTTAGGAATTCAAAGTCAAATAAAGCCATACTGTAAAAAAGCTTTTTGAAGCATTTTTATCTTTAGGAATGTGCACTCTCTACACATTATAAAAATATAATATAAATTTTTATATTAAAAAAGCTATAAAACTGTGTTGAGTTCACAGATTTACTATATCCCAGAAAAGGACCTAGCCCTCAGTATGTACAAATATCTGTTGAGTGAATATTTTTTGAAATAATAAACAGAAGATGTTGCATTCAAAATAGTCTCAGACTCAGTCATCTTAAAGGTTTTCTCTTTTTGAGGTGAGGTCTGGCTATGTTTCCCAGGCTAACTTCAAACTTCTGGGGTCCAGCAAATCCTCTTGCATCTGCCTTCCCAGTAACTGGAACTACAGAGGCATACCACCACCTTGAGTTATTTTTTGAAATAAATTTGCCCTAAAAATACTCCAGAAATAGTTTTCGAATGACCTTAAAGATAATGCCTTTAGAATATATTTGTATTTTTGGTAATAGCGAAATATCAAATTTATATTACTATTTCAAAATATTTATAAAATTATCACAATTGATTCTACTGGGATTAGAAAATGTATGCCATTTTTACCTGCGTGATTATCATACCATTATTCAATCTTAACCTGTGTGATTATCATACCATTATTCAATCTTAACCTGTGTGATTATCATACCATTATTCAATCTTAATACAGTAAAGCTTCCTTTAGTACTAGCTTTTTGGTTAACTGAGAGATTCTCAGATAATCAACTTATTTCTAAATATATTTTGTAGTAAAACAATGGCAAATGTGTTGCCCACAAAAAGACTTTATAGTTATAGATGTAGATTTAATTTAACAAATACTCAAAAGAGGAAAGAAAGAAAGAGAGAGAGAGAAAAGAAAGTGTAATTACGTAATTAAGGACCACAATTGTCTCTAAAATATTAACATATCCTTCCACCAGAGGGCAACATTTGCAAGATATTTAAATTATTTCTCAAAAGTATTTCCTCACACATTTGTTTATTTCCACACAGGGATATAAACAAATGGAAATCTATTACATTGCTGTTGGCTAATACCTTATGTGAATCTTAAAAAATACTATAACTTCAATTATTTAAACAATTGCATATAAAATTCAACATATACAGTAAAACAACAAAGTTTTATTTAAATATGTAAGAAGGTAGAACTTTCAGAAATGAGTACATTTCTCTATATTAGTATTTTTTCAGTTTATTATTAACCATTTAACTCAAATATAATAGAAAAACCTTAGGATGGAAGAAACAAAAGAAAAGTAGTTTTACATCAGTTAATAAAGTTATGAAAAGGCATAAAATTTTACAAGCAGAACGGATGATAGAAATCACCCAATACAAGCCTTCATTTGTGCCAGTAAGAAAACTGGTTTATTAGTGTTTGATGATTGATACAAAATTGGAGAGATGATAATCAGTAGAATCAGGGCCCACTCAGGTAAACTGATTTCACATTTCATACTCTGAACTGTTGATGTTCAAAGTGTGATTCTTGGGCAAGTAGTCCTGGAAACATGTTACAATTGCTGAATCTTGGGCTTTCGTCTAGACCTACTGAATCAGAACCTGTATTTTAACAAGACCTTAAACTGTGAGAAGCTACTCTAACCTGTGCTGTTTTCTCATCACCAGTTACATTGCTTCAGACAATTATTAAATCTCACTTTCTTCCTCAGTAACATGGAAATACAACTATTTTAGTCTAAGGAATAATTATAAGGAATAAATGAGATTATCGTGTAAATAAAAGCTACTCATAAATTATAATATGCTACCCTACATTAGTTATATTCAGTGAAAACCTCTCCTTTTATTGTTCACAGTTCTTGGCAAGAGGGACATTTCTTCCTCTAGAAATGAAGTTGTCTAATGATGCAATTTAGAGCTTGTTAAAATTGGGTATAAGGTATTGGGGATAAAGGAGGGTGTCAAGAGAAAGGAAGTCATTTTTGATATGCTTAAGTTAATATCCTACATATAACTACTAGTGCATCTTTACATAAAGATGAAACTGATTAATTTAGGGTTGCGAAAGTACATGTTCAGTGTTTCCAGTTCCATGAAGAAAATCTGTTGTGTTAGCAAATGGTGTCTGAATATATGTTTCATACATTGGGAGCTGCTATGAGTTTAAAGATAGCCTAAATGGCATTCTTAAGTCCCAGGTGGCCTAGTAACATTTCTTGTAATTTTCCACATGCAATATTTTTCATTGTTTATGGAAATACCATTAAATATACCCCTCTGGCTGTAGTGCTATCCAAATAACACCCCTCCACCCTGCCAAACTCCACTGGGCTGCCATTGTCTTTGTAGAACTACATTTCCTTTAACTATTAAGACAGACAAGAAAACATTGTCTCCTGAAATACATTCTGTACATTTTAACTCCCAGGATGAGTTATTTAACTTGTATAATTTCATTCATAATTATTTGTAATTGTATTTATGTGTCTATTTCCCATGTAGCTTGTGAGATTTCAGGGAGAATTCCCAGATCTAGTATTATTCTTGGCACTCAATGAATATTTTTAGAATGAATAAATCAATATTAGCAGTTATTCTGATTCGGTTGCTCATGCTATTTATTATCAAGAGAGTGGAAGACAGAGGCAGATGACATTCATTTCAATAAAAGTGAATGTAATTGTTTTACCCTAGAAACAATGCTTTTATGTTGGATTTATATTTCTTAGTTTCCCCTCATATTTGCATAATTGCGACCTAGCTATCATACTTATTGATGGTTTAGATACATCTCTAGTTATCCGAGGTTCAACTTAAGACGGAATGTTTAGGAAAATCATTTCTGCATTATCACCTGAGCTTCACAAACATTTGTTGTAAATTCTATTTTTTAAATAACTTTCCAAAATTTCAAAATCATTAATATCCCTAAATAAATATAATTTAATGAACTTAGTTACTAAAAATTTGAAAAATATGGATATTTAGAAAACACCTAGATAAGTCAAGTCCTGAGTAGCTTGAATCTTTTAATCTTTTTGTTTGTTTGTTTTTTAGCAAGGAAGTAGTTTCGTCTCTTTATACTTGATCTTGAGAAATAGATATTATTCTAAGCCATTCCAGAGTGCTAGAGAAAAACCAAATTCACTGTTTTACTGAGGATATATATTTTAGACAAATTTATCCAAAAGAAGAGAAAAATTTCTTTATTATCCTTTTCTTTATCATATTTCAAAATGGAATATAATTTGACAACTATCAAACTTAATAATGGTAGGCGGTTTTAGATATTTTTGAATTTTTTTTCCAGGTATCCATTCAGTGAATACAGAGCCATTATACCATTTGAACTATTCGGGGAATATTCTTACTTGATTCTGAATTTAGATCCCTACTTTTGAGATATTTTTCCAGCATCTTAATTAAAATCGACTCCCCCTGTTGACTTATATGACATCCAAGGTTTTGACCTTGAAAATCTGCTTCAAGGCCAATCTGTTTTATAAGCATTGGCCTGAATCATACATAAGAAGTTTGTGATTCATGTAAAAGAGATTAATAGTTTACCTTAATCTAGCACAGTTTGCTTGCTTTGCTTAATGAAATAAATTCATTGATACTGTACTTATATACATAAAACCAAAAGTATTACATGAATGTCTTTCAAAACGTATGCTTTAGGAGAAGGTGATACAAAGAAAAAATATATATATAAGTTTTGAATGGAATATATGTAAATTAAAATAAATCTTTAAATCATCATCATCATAATTTGTCGGCAAGCACAAGGTATAGACACATATTTCATCAGTATACTGGCATTTGAGTAGTGTACTGTAAATTCTTTAAACAAAGATGCTTAAAATTCCAAGGAATTTATCTTAAACTTCCTGTCTTTTATTTAACCTCGTTCACTGAGTTTACAGCTATTCTTTTATTTTCTCCTCTCCCTACCTCGCACCTCTTTTTCTTTATTCTTCCCTTCCTCCATTCTTCTTTCCTTCTCTCCCTTTCTTTTTTTATTTCTTTCATTCATCTTTTTCCTGTCAAGGGTTAAAACAAGCATATGAGTAATGTAATTATGCATTTTGTGTGCATAGATTTTACATTCAAGGGAGCCTAGGTGTCTTGGAACATCACAAGCATAAGTGAAATATGTTGAAATCTTTCTTCCCTGCAATATTGGCATCAGTGTGCTGGACAAAACGTAGCAAACTGGAAGTAACTTGTCAATTTTTAATAAAGTTGTCTTCCCTAGCAGAGTTAAATGCACCATTCTCCCTGCAAACTCTGGAGATGATGACATCTTCCTACATGGTTTCCATAGCATCCATTCCTGAAGAGCCCCAGTATGGTCCTTGGTCAGGGCGATCCGCCCAGCCCCCCCTAGAAAGTTGGCAACCTAGCTAGCCAAAAGAAGCTTCCCCTTTTCCTGAAACTTACTCTGTCCGTGGTGCTGAACCATTCTATCGAGACCCGCCCAGACGGGTGCTGTCAGCCGCTGAAAAAAAATCTTCCCTGAGGCTGCCCAAATCAGAACTGTGTATCTTTTATTTACTCACGTCCTCAAAGAGCAGCAAGCCTTCTCCATCTTAATTTGACTCTACCGCAAAGCACAGTTACGCTGGCGTGATGGGAGGAGATCATGGGCAGAGAGGAAAAACTAATAGCAGCACTGCTCACCTGAGACCTGAGGTGCTACCATGAGTTTTGAATATGCTCTGCTCTTTACAGCAAATACACCATTTTTAAAAGTACTATTCTTTTGACTTTGCTGTTACCCAAGGGTTCTGTGATATTCCGGCCCCTCCGTTTAAAAGCCAGCAGACTTGAGAGCAGTAAGTCTTCAAAACCGGGAATTTGCATTGTTTTTCAGCTGACCGACTTCCAGGACAAGGACTCAACCGCATCTACTCAAATACCATGGCACTGCTTGCACCCTTTGCCACCGGATCCTCCCCTTCCAATGAGACTTTCTGATTGTGTCTACCAACTCTCCTATTAGGAAACCCGTGGGTTGCATGCAGCTATTCTGTTGTATTCTCATTCTCACTCTCCCTCCCTTCTCTCACTCTCACTCTTGCTGGAGGCAAGCCACTACCATTCTGCTAAGAAGGAAAAGCCCACAACTGCCTTAAGAGATTAAGACAGTATGTGCAATCCTCGCCTTTCCTAGCAATCACTGTTTAAATCTGGCAAGAGCTGACAACAGTCTTTGAAAGAATGGAATCGGTAAAACAAAGGATTTTGGCCCCAGGAAAAGAGGGGCTAAAGAATTTTGCTGGAAAATCCCTCGGCCAGATCTACAGGTAAGACAAAGCAAATCCTTGCTTACCTGGGGCTCAGCATGAAAAAACCTGCAGGGCCATTTCCGCAAACCATGGTGGCTCAGGAACATTGTAATATGATCGGAAAGTCTTTTTGTTGCCCATTGCTTGGAGCAGGGGTGCTCTGGAAACCTGCTTATTAATGCAGGAATGTTGCACTAAATGAACCTGTCTGGGGTGTGTGTGTGTGTGTGTGTGTGTGTGTGTGTGTGTGTGATTTTGGTATCTGCAGAGTTTTATTCTTTACTACATAGGATTTATCTTCTTTACAATTTAGAAATGACCAGCACCTGCTCAAACAGTCATTCTTTTAGTGCTTATAGATAACCCGAATTAAACTCCTTTGATGCAGACAAACGAATATAAAGCACAACCCTCTAAAAATTAGCCAAGAAATTCCAAAGAATAATGGTTTTAATATATATACATACAAGTAAGAGAGAGAGATCTCAGCTTCAAAAGCATAGTAGAGAATCCCCTAGTGGAATCTTTCTTCTCTATTGAATAAAGAAGAATCAAAATATATCAATAATTGATAGTTGAAGCAATTCCTTTCTCTGAGCCTGAAACAATGTATATGCATTTTTAATTATTTTCAGTCTCCTAGAGTCTATTTCTTGCATAGGAAATGTCACAATGCCCGGAAGAACAGCCATAAAAATAACAAGCAACATTGCTTTGAAAGTCCTAGAAATGATTTAATTTTTTAATCCTTCTGTAGTCACTATACTAATTATGCTGCAATCTGCAAAACTTTAAATCATTTCAGGTATGCTACATGGATACAGCTTTTTAAAAATAATTAGAGCAAAATAAAGAAGACAGGGAAGACATAAAAGAAAAAACAATTCCAAAGGAGCATTAATTTTAATATTTGGGAAATTGAGGTCTCTGTAAATGCATGAGAAATATAAGGAAAATGACCAAACCACTCCCAAATTTTCCAAATCTTTTTAGGTTTGGCGGGCTTTATGTAGGCACGATTATGCACCTATGCGGCAGTAGATACCGCAAGGGCCCTGCAGTCCCACAGCTACCCTGTAAAGGGCTGTTCTTTCCCGGTACAACTGTCATCCTGTGCAGAGTTCAACGTTGTATATTTGGGCACACAAAGCCAATGCAAAAAAAAAAAAGAAGAAGAAAGAAAGAAAAGAAAGAGAGAAAGAAAAAACACATCAGCTGATTTTTTTCTCCCAGTGAAAATAAACTGCAATGTTTTCTAACATTATGATCAGGCTTTAAGAATAAACATTAACCTAGCCACAAATACCTTTAAGACCTATTGTCCAGGTACTATTTTATAGAATTCGGAAGTCTGACATTTTTTTCTGGTAGCCTCAAACTGCTTGACAGCAATATCCCAAGCTATGCATATTTGAAATTAAATTAAAATTTTCACTTGCTTCACCCTTGTGTGGTAAAACAATTGGGTGTGCACATAGCATTCAAAACGGCACAGGTCAAAATTACATGGTAGTTTGGAAAAATATTTGCAAATTGTAAACGGAGAGGCTCTTTGTTTAAATATCAAAAGTATCAATCCCAAGGGGCTACATACAGAGATGTTGCCGTATGCATTCCTTTTGTTTGTTTGGTTGGTTTTTGTTAATAGAAATTTCATGAACTTGTTGTAGACTAGAACACCACCAACTTTTAGTGAAACCATTCCTTTTCTCCGCGTTCCCCTTTTCGTTTGGCCCTTCTCCCAAGGACCAAAGCCAGAAATGAATTGATTCAAATGGGTGAAATCTTATGAAACAGTATGCAAAAACAAATTTTTACATGAGATCTTCCACTTTGATGTGGAATATCTTACAAAAGTTGATTTGGGGACTCGTTTGTATATCTGGGAGTCACATTTTGTGTCTCGGGAGATGGACTCTTGACATTTTTCGGTGTTTGTAAGAGAGAGAGTAATGACGCAAGATTGTGAATAATTAATTATTCATGTTCTGTCAGTAGGAAGCTTAGGTGTCGCCCATATGCTGTGGAGGTCTTTGTCTCCAACTCGAGTAAAAAGAAAAAAAAAAAATAGTATGAGGTGTAACGGGATTAAGCATTGAACCAGAGCCCTGGGGGCGGGATGAAGGGGAAGGAGAGTGTTTGACACTCTCAGCGAGAGTTCTCAGGCCTTCTCTTCAGGCACAGGCAATGGCCTAGAGAGGCCTTAGTCTCAGGGGTGCCCCAGGCTCAGCTGGGGGGTGGGGTGGGGAGGGGGTTTGGAATACTAGCATCCTCAACCTGCAAAGCTTCCGCTTGCCAAAAACGGAAAAGGCAGCACGGGTGGAAAAGGCTCTCTGGTTGGGCCCGCCTGCAGCGGAGCAGCCCTCGGGCGCTGGATTGCAGGAGCACAGGGTAGCCAGGGGAAAGCCCTGGGGAGCGCAGGTCGGCAGGGGAGGCGCCTACACAGGTGCGGAGGAGGCTCTGGTAACCCCTGTCCTCACAAAATGCAGACCCTGCAAGAAAGTTAGACCCAAGCAGCCCGTGTTTCTGAATCAAAGCTTCCAGAGGTGGATCCCGAGATGGGGACTCGCTGCCTTAGGCCTAAAGGTGTTAAAGTTGAAGGGACGCTGCCGCTGAGGCAAGGAGCAAGGGCAGAATGCGTGAGAGCCTGGGAGGTCTTGCAGTTTGGTGTCACGCCACCAGCCTAATACCTGAGGGAGGGCTGAGGTCGACGGCCCTCCTGCCAACCCCTATGGATCCTGAAATATGGGAATGGGTCAGAGTCAGGGGTGCCTGAGCTGCCACGCACGTCCTTGACTCGCCCCTGCTCTGCCGCGCAGGGTGCTGGAGAAGAAGCAAGACACCGGGGAGACTATCGAGCTGACAGAAGATGGGAAGCCCCTAGAGGTGCCTGAGAGGAAGGCGCCGCTGTGCGACTGCACGTGCTTTGGTCTGCCGCGCCGCTACATCATCGCCATCATGAGCGGCCTGGGCTTCTGCATCTCCTTCGGCATCCGCTGCAACCTGGGCGTGGCCATCGTGGACATGGTCAACAACAGCACCATCCACCGCGGGGGCAAGGTCATCAAGGAGGTGGGCAACGGGTGGCCACCCTGGCTCCCGCCCTTCAGCCATGTGGCCTTGCAAAGCTGCATCTCCTGTTTGAGCCCCATTTCCCCCCTCAATGGAAAGGAAGGCTTGGGTGCTCCCTAAGTTCCTCTCTAGCTCTGCCCTTCTAGAATGGACTCCAATAGTGTTATCACCTCCTTTTCCGCTCTGCGGTCCAGGCCTTCCCTTCCCCATCTGCAAAGTGGAAAAGAGCGTCTAGCTCACTAGGCTTTGTGAACTGTTGGTGACTAGCAATGTCCACTAAATCTAAATAGAAATGTATTTGTTTTATTTGAATGAATAGTGTAGCATATTAATTATAGTTTTCCCGTGACTTTATTCGGCCCCTCCGAAACATTCTTAATAATCAAAATGAAACAAACTAGAAAACAAATAAAATCAGCTGTGTTCATATTAGCAGGTTTGGCTGAGGAGTCTATCGGAAGGTTTATGTCTCCGCAGGAGGAGCTGCAACGCTGGAGGGTCCCAGGGTGGCAGGGAATCGAGCCCAGAGAGGGGAGGGTCACGTCAAGGTCACAGAACCCCTGGGTCCCTACTTAGAAACTCCAGCTGCGGTAGAGGAGACAAAGCAGGAATTGAGAGGAGAAACTGGGGAAGGATCTTGGAATCCGGGAGACCTTGAAAAAGTCCGCTGTGTGTCAAAATATTATTCGAAGGAGAAAAAGGGTTCCCAGTTACCTGACAGGAAAAGTAGACTCCTATCTTTCGGAACTTAACATTTGCGCCCCAGTTTACTTTGAGGCTCCCTTGGGGAGTCACCCAGGCTGACCAGGGCAGAATTAGACCTCTACCTTCAGAAATACCCCTGCCCCGTTTTATTGCAACCCCTGAGCAATGCCCCCCACTCCCTTTACTCCCCCCAATTCACGGATGACTCCAAACCCTTCAGGCCCATATCCGTCTCCATTTGTGAGGACACCCTTTCTCCTGGCCACTCTGAGCCCTGCACCTTTCATCCTTCGCTCCCCACCTTCCTTTCCCAGGACTTCCCTATTTACGTCTCCAGGGTTGGATTCCGTTCTTAAAGTCACTACACTACTGCATTCGCATTGGCCGGATCCGTTAAGTGGATCCCTGCCAGGAGTCTCCATCTGGCTAACAAATCTCTTCATGGGGAGTTCGAATTTCCAAGACTGGGGCCCTCTAGATTCCTAGCTCATTCAGAGGATCCGATCTGCCTACCATCAGTCGAGGAGGAAAGCCAGTGCTCCCGGTCTCACTGTTAATCACAAAATATTTCGTTAATGAGCAAGGTTTTTCCGTTGCAAGAGGCAATTTTGTTAGGAAACGAAAATGAAGCCACCCTTATCCCCAGAATGCGTGAAGTGTCCAAGCACTGGGGGCTGTTTGGCTTGTGAACCACTGAAAGTGAGCCTTTGGCACTGACTCTATCTACTCTTTCCCTTCACCCCTTTTTTTCCTACCCCCCATAGAAAGCCAAATTCAACTGGGACCCGGAAACCGTGGGGATGATCCACGGTTCCTTCTTTTGGGGCTACATCATCACCCAGATTCCGGGAGGCTACATCGCATCTCGGCTGGCAGCCAACAGGTAAAGCGCCAGGAGGGACTGGGGCTCGCGGAGTGGTGTTGGTTCCCTCCGAAGGGGCGGCAGAAGCTGGGAGCAGAGACTACAGCCCCAGGGGGTTTGAGGGCTCCCGGGAGAGATATTCTAGTCCCTTGACACTCCGTCTTAGGGCTGGAGCTGCTGGTGACTCCTTCCAGAATTAGTCGCCTAAATGGATGTAGGCTCTCTGGGACTGGCGCACGCGGCGTCCTTCCCTCTGCGGTGGCTGAACCGGCTTTCGGAGAAATGATCGACGTGCCTTTTGGCCTGACGGGAGCTGAGGGCAGGCGGGGAGCAGGCAGAGCAGGGAAAGTGCGGCAGTGTGCACAAAGGGGTGGGCGACGGCAGATGCTGCGCTCTCCCCTGCACTCCCCGCGGGCGCCCAGGCTCCCCGAGGGTCTGCCCCGGACCCTGCCCAGATGGTGCTCTGGGTCTAAAGGATTTGTTTCTAGAGGTGCTGGCACAAGGGAGGCAATTCCACCTGTTAATGAACTGCGCAGAGGCGGAGGTTGGGGAGCCCTCAGCTGCTTTCAGTGGCCTCCGGCCTCTCTGTGGAGTCCACAACCAAGGTCCTAGCGCCAGTTCCCAGAAGCGCCACCAGCAGCACCTGCAGAGACACCCCTAAAGCAAAAGATGTAAGGACTGATGGGATGGGGTGTCGAGGGTGACGGCCTGTCCACCAGAGGGTGAGGGGCAATTTCCTTTGCTTCATTGTGTGTATACTGAGAAACAAAACTAAATGTTCTTTACATCTGAATTGTTGAGCCGACATAGAACACAAGCACCATCTCTTCCTGTTCTTTCTGCTTAGATAGCGCGAATAAAGATTTCCAGTCTTTATTCAGATCTTGTACCTAAAACTTCACTTCTCTTCCTACACTTAAAAGTCATATTTTAACGAAAGAAGACTAGAACTTGTCACCTCCATAATCATGGTCATATGCAACTTAGCCCTTTGTAATTTGGGCACAGCTCATCTCTCAGGCCCCATCCGGGGGCTTTTGTCAATTACAATCCCTTTCACTAGCGGTGTCTTTTCTGCCCAAAGCTTCTCAGAGTCCTCAGAGCCTGGGGAGGAATTCTTGGAAATGTATTTTTGGCTTAAGAATCTCTAGAGTGAGGATTTGGGGACAGTGTTTTAAAACGTCGAGAGAAGAGTGCCATACATTAGGAATAATGCCTTTCGAGTATTGTCTTTACTTGACAACACGGATGGTCGACACTAAGACCAAGTAGTAGACAAATAGTTCCTTTAAAAAATCAATGTATTGCTTATATGTGGCACATTATTTTTATCCATTCATCTGCTGATGGACACTTGATGAAACTCACTATGTAGAGAACTCTTTTTTATAGATGTGATAAAGAAAACATTGATATTAGACAAAACATTAAATATTCTGTTAAATATTATTGATAATGAACACGTTACATTTTTTTGATTTTCAGATCCCCAATATATACAGTCTTCACTCCTTTTTTGTTTGTTTGTTTTCCTAAAAAGTATTTCCTAAAATAAAGCAACATATTTAGAAAGATACTCCAAACATACATGCATGAAATGTTTGCACTGCAGGGGGGGAAATATTCAACAATTCACCAAAAAGCAAAAATGATACAAGAACTCAATATGATGTCAAATGAAAATATAATGGTGGTGACTTTAAGGTTATTTTCGGAGTCAAAATATTCACCTTGCCAAATATGAAAATGCTAGCATTTGTCTGCCAGGAAAAGCCACCAGGGATGCTCCAGCTTTTCCTCTGTAACACTAGGAGGTCAGTAACTGGTTTTTCTGATTTAAAAACTGCAAACTCATGAATATCTGTGACATGTTTAGCAATGAAAACAGTGATGCTGACTCAGGTTCTAATTTATTTGGCAGATTTTCCTCAAAGAAATTTTTTTTTTTTTTTTTTTTTTTTTTTTTTTTTTAGACAGAATCTGGCTTCCTCTCCCAGGCTGGAGTGCAATGGCGCCATCTCGGCTCACTGCAGCCTTGGCCTCTGGGTTCAAGTGATTCTGCTGCCTCAGTTTCCCCAGTAGCTGGGACTACAGGCATGCACCATCATGCCCAGCTAAGTTTCATAGAGAAAAAATTTTAAATTCTGGAATTCTTATTTGGATCCAAATTTAATCTTGCCATTAAATGGGTATTCAAGAGAGAGGGCTTAATGTTTTCATATATAATATGCTATGTTCTATGAGACTCAGAAAATTAAAAAGGTATTGTAAAATATCATGGCCCTATAGAAAATTATATAGATCAACTTGCTTATCATGCCTGAAGATTCTGACATATTTGCTTCATTTTTAAAATATAGCAAAACATTGCAAAATGTAATTGAAGCCTTGCATGAAAATGGTTTTTAAACATGTATAATATTTTCTTTTGAGATTATAACAGTATTGCATATTAATTTAAAAATCGTAAAAACAACAAATAATTTAATCATCTTGATGTCCCTACTATTAACATGATAAATGTCCAACTTGTAATACAAATGCTACATAAAATTTTACCTTAGAAGGCTTTTAATAAATATAAAATGAGAGATTTTTATAAGTTGTTTGAAAGATATTCCTATTACGATCTCTTTTTCAAAAACAGTAAAAACAAAGCAGCAAGACCAATCTTTCACTTATAAGCATCGTGTACCCATTCAAATCAGCTTCTCTATATTGATCACTTAATAGTAGAATGAGATTTCCCTTGGGTAGGAGATTGGGGACAGATTCCTTTCCCTCCAGTGCAAAAGAGGCTTATTTTGGAAAGTGTTTGCCATCACTGTTGTGGGTGGAACTGAGGAAGAAAAACTGAGGCGTGTGGAGACAGAGCCTCAGGAGAGAAAGACTCCTGGCTACACCTCCTGGCAAATTTCTCAATGAAAAACAAAGAACAACTACTTGGCTTCTTCATTTTATTGATTAAGCAAAGAGAGCCCCACTCTTGGTCACAATGCAGACTCTTGGTTCTTATACCAGTCAGATTCTAAGTACATGTACTTTCCTGATCATGGAGAGGAGGAGTTGGAAGAGTCAGTGGGGGAGCATATCCAGTCTCAGAGGAGGGAGGGCTCTTGCATCACTTTTTCCTTTGTCTTCCCTTAAAGAGCTATTGCACATTATGGGTGGGAGAATTTAGTCTCCACCAGGAAAGGCCTTTGTGTGGGGGGGCGGGGTGTCAAAGGAGGATTTCTTACAAAATATTTAATGTTTTAACATGAGAACGTATTAATATAGTAATAAAAAGATGTGGGGAGTGCAAATTATTTTTGTCTTTAAATAATACAGGACATGGACTTATAGTAATCCATGTATTTACAAATATGAAATTTCTAAGGACTGGTTTACCCTGCATTTAAATTGCTCTGAGGTACTTGAAATGTTTAATAGCATAAATAACATACATATGTGAAATATATAAAAGTATATATAAGAAATATATAAAAGTATAAATATGAAATATATAAATATGTAATTTTTTTGGAAAAGACGTTACCATGGAAGATCAGATACAGCAAAGGGAGTTTGATGAACCTTATATCTTTAATGTATAGCACTCTATCACAAAAACTGTTTTTGCCTTTATTTAGGTGGTGATATTATTTAAACTCTATTTAATATTTTTAATACCCTGATCCTTTCCTCTTGATTTCTCAATGCTGCTTTAATTTTTTACATACTACTTATCACCACCTGTCATACCAATATTTTATTTATTATCTGTTTGTCTAACATCTTCCATTCTACCACAAAATGCAAGCTCCCCGAGTGATGGTAGTTTTGCCCATGGTTTTTTTTTTGTTTGTTTTTTTGTTTTGCTGTTGTATTACCAGAATCTCAGAGAGTACCTGACTCATGACACATATTTGTTGAATAAATGAAATAAATATCACAACAAGGCGTTTGGGAAAAAAACACACACACACACACACACACAAAAAAAAAAAAAGCCAACAGTAAGATTTAGGCTATAAAGCCAAACTGTAGGTACAGGCTCTTGAATGTGTTATTTAGTAACTGAATAATATACATTGTTATTTAACCCACCTCAGTATTTCTGTAAAAGAGGGCTAATTAAAGTACCTACCTCACATGGATTGTAACAGCTAAATATATGTAAAGGTTTTTGAAGCGCCTGGAACCAGGTAATTGCTGGCTGTTATCATTTATTATTTAAAAAATAATAAATGATATTTATTAAAAACTTCTGTGACTATTCAGCTTATTTTTGTCTAAATTTACCTTAAACATTAGTAATGTAAATGGTTTATTTCCAATGTCATAAAAATGCCTCTTTTCATGAGTCACATTTCTACATTTAAAATTGTTTTCCCATGTACATTATTCAAATTGAAATTATTGTTCAGTAAAAATTCCATAAATATTACTTGAAGGCTTTTAAAGAGCTGTCCTAAAAAATATTTTTAGCCAAGTGTATAAAGTGCTAGTAATTCAGTGTATGCAGTCTTTGAATTCTAGCCAAGCATAAATACACTTAGAGAAATCCATTTAAGCTTTAGGTTAGCCTTCTGTATTCAGAGTTATAGTTTATCTTCCCCTACAGTAATCCTGTATTTTTGTCTTTTCAGGTATTTCTTTAATTTCTAACTTGGCTTTTTCTAAGGAAAAATACTTCTTTATTTGAATAAGACACTTAGGATCACCCTTGGTTGTAGCATAGAGTGAACCCCCTATAACAGAAAGAACCCATATTATTGGTGGACAGAGCTCATCTAATCCAGCCCTTTCATTTTACAGAGCAGGAAATGAAATAGAGAATGAGGGAATAGTGATTTATCTGAGGTCACAAAGGGATTGTGACTAGAACTCAGGTGTCTGGTAATATATGATGGCAAGGTACCTCTACAATGAAATTGAACATCTCTGTCTGATGCTATGTGCTTCCTTGCAAAGTTAGCTTTCAGCAGTAGGTTGAGCCTTCTGCTCTCAGAATGAATGATTACAATCTATCATGCCCC